ATGAGAATACCCTTTTGGGAGGCAAAGTTAAATAAGATTAAATGGCCTCCTGAGGCAAACTGCACTATCAGTTATTCATCTTCCTATGCCAATCAGGGTGGATACAGTTCTTGCTGAAATTTGGACGCACACATTTTCAAATGAAACCTTCCATTTCAATCTATTCCAAGTGCATTTTTTAGACATTATTTATGCATGTGTATTTATGGTTATTGTACATGCATATCCACAAAGCATCAATCTTGTGTCATACTTTTTGCGCATTTCTGTTAATTTTATATTGTGGAACTAGATAATCAAGCAAGGTCTGACTTGTAAACGTCAATCTTTCTCCCTTTGCCATGCAGTTAAGGCGAGAAATCCCAATCATACGCTCTTCCGACCTGAGTTGTTGTGTTTAGGACAAGTTTATGTATATCCTTTTCCAGCGTATAGATCAGAGAATTGAGATGCCTTGACAAGCTCGCTTTCCGGATTGCCCTCGGAGTCAATGCGCCTGGACGGGCTGTTAAGTGGGGCTAGAGCCCAGCTATTGCAGGGATCGTCCTACCTCTTTGGGCCTGACAACGTCAAGCCGTCGCAACGGACGGCCAGACAGGTCGGCCGACGACAGTCAACAACTTATAAAAGGGGCGCCAATCTCACCCAGCCTCCTAGTCGTGGTCGGTTGCCAGTCTAGCGGGAGAAAAGCAGGTGAGTGATGTGTACTTGAGAAAGCGAATTTCCTCGTAACCATTGGGTGTTGTGGTGTTTATGCGTTGATGTGAGGTCTTTCCTACCGAAACGAAATGAGTTCACGCTCCCTCGGCCGACTGGTTGCTTGGACGGTTCACTTCAGGTGAGATGGGTATGTTCTGTTGGCGGGTGAGTTTTCTATGCGCCACCGGGAGAAGCAATGTTGACATGATTCCAAGTTGTCGGCATCACTGGAGTCAAAACAGCCGTTACGAGGTGAAGTTCGATCTCCCATTCCAGATGCTTCAAGCACTATTCGAGATCATCAGTTACTCGTCAAATAAGACCTTTAGTCACCCTTTCTTGTTTAAGGCGTTAAACGAGTAAGTGAATTTTCTCACAATCAAATGAGTAAACTTTATGATGTAATTGAACTTTGCATAGCCTAGAAGGTATGGTCGCAGTCTCCTTTCGATTTATAGAAGTGGATTGACCCCATTGTCGCAATTTGGTCTTGTTGTCAGGGTGACTTATGGGAACGCACCTAGTCCGAAGTCGTCTGTCATAGTAGTTGTCATGATTTCCAGCATCAAACAGTGGACTTGGTACATTCTCAAACTCTTCGCCGGCAATGAATTTTGTCATTCTCTGCACCAAGCTACGGATTCGTCAAAGAAACAAGCGAAGTCAATTCCTCGACAAACGTTCTGCCGAAAACGGTTACACTATCACTCCTCTTTCTGTCCTGGCCTATCTATCTACTTTTTACCCTCTTATCCCACTGTCGCCCTATCACAACTTCTCACTTGTTTACATTCCACTCGTCGAAAATGTATGCACCCTTTATCCCATCCAACCACATCAAAACTTCTCACTTGTTTACATTCCACTCGTCAAAATGTGTACCCTTATGTGACAAACGGAGTGTGGCCTCATCACACTTCCTATTCACCCCGACTCCTTCTCTTTAGATCGGCTGATCCTATTCGGGACTTCGAATCCGGATCCCCTCATTGTCTCGTAGATCCGTTCCTTCTCTTTTTAGTTGACCGATTTCACTCGGTTCCAGTCCCAGTGTGCATTTCACTCCAGCCGCTATTTATCATAGTCCTATAGGTACGTACATCGCATCTCACCGAGCAGAGGGCCTAAGCTATGATTGTCATGCTTGCAGATATCAGGCCCTACCTTCATGGGTCCTCTACTTGATTAAACCCATGTTATCTGAGCAAACTGTGCACACCTATCTCTGTTCACATGCGGCATCTCAAGTGGATTTCTGGTACATTTTAGCCATAATGCCGAATTTCTCTCACGATTTGCTTATCCATCTGCCCAGCTTCCTGAATGCTAGGCCTCCCCAGTTGTACTGGTTTATTCGAAACTGACATCACGCATTCACACCGTCTTCGCTTGATTGCCGAAAACCTCCGCCCTTCACTTTCCTCATCGCGATCCCTTTTCTTCCGGTTAGCGATAGATCTTTGATCCAAGCGTCTCCTTTAATTAACCGCTTTAGTCAGTCCAAGCCGCTTCACATGATGTAGGAGTGGTAGTGAATTTTCACATTGAAATGCAATTGCATCGTGAGGCCTACTCATTAGATTGTAGGAAAATTCATTATCAGTCCTTCTTCGCCGTAAGTTGCCTGGAAGTTTAAAAGTAGATTTTCGAGACTGCCAGTTTTTGAGCACAACTGCCTTGTGAAAGTATCACTTGGGTGTTGTCAAGACTAATCGGTGTACATCTGGTACATTTCACTGCGAAGTTCTATTCCAGTAATTAACAGAGACCATAATGCCAAGGCGATATGCGAGAAGAGTGAACGTCTTGACAACCACAGGTATGAGTTAGGATGGCGCAGTAGAGCAAGAGTCATGTGGCTGAGATGATGGTGCGTTTGTTGAAGACTTCCTTGCTCCCAAAGCAGAGGGGCAACGCTTAAACTCACCTCAAGGGGTCACGATACTAATGTCACCAATGAGCCTGATTTCTGAGATTTTACTGCAAAAGGTATCTCAACTTAGCATCAATTGTGCTAACAAAGAAGACCATCCAATAAAAACAATAAGTAGGCATTTTCAGTATAAGTAGGCTTCTTGCATAAAGCCTTAGCCAGTCTGTGATTTGAGGACTGAAAGTTGGTTTTTTCCACAATCAGCTTTGCTTCCCAAAATGTATTATCATCCAGATTGTTCAC